TTCACTTTACTTAGTTTTTTCAAGGCAATCGGTTTGCATGCTTTTTTTTAAGTAAGCCCAACTAATTAGATTTTACAGTGAAGGATGATGTGCAGTCTCCTTCATTATTGACAGCAAGCCAATCCCATCTATCCATTTCCAAAACTATCAGGCATGTTATGAAGACATCACATACATGTGAAGATAATGCAATTACCTTGACTATTTTTGACCCATGATTTGAACATAATGCTTTAGTTACAGTACAGTATATACTTTATATATAATACGGTAACACTTTACTTGAAGGGGTGTACATAAGACTGACATGACACATACTTACCTTACATTGCTGAAAATGTTACAGTGAAACTTATTGCATTTTATGTTTTTTTTAGCTACATTACATTTTGATTAATATACATGATTGTAACCAATAAACTGATATTTAATTGCTTACCAAAACTGCCTGCTGGGTCTTTGATTTTTAGACCTTGAGCAAGAAAATACTACAAAGGAGTCTTCTGTACAAGCTGTCCAAGCATTATACTTATAATGTAGGCCAGGTTCAGCTTATGTTACCTAATCTGAGCATAATAAAAAGGTAAGTAAAAAGGTCAGAAGGTTAGCATCCATTCTAACATTATTCAACCACCTCAATGGCTATGAAATACATCCAAGGCCAGAAACGGTATACAATCGTATATGGAGAATGGTCTTGCTTTATGGTTTGACAAGACATGAAAGAGAAAAGGCTAGTCGAGTGTGGGTCTGTTTCATAAATGGTGTCGCGCATTAGCATTTACTCCACTGGCCTCGCTCCGTTCCCACGGCTCTCGGCCCCGCCCCTCTCATCACAGTGACTATTGATCATTAAGTAACTCAAAGAGAAGGACATTTGTGACCCTGGAGCACAAAACCAGTCATAAGTAGCACTGGTATATGTGTAGCAATAGCCAACAATACATTGCATGGGTCAAAATTATCGATTTTTCTTTTATGCCAAAAATCATTAGGATATTAAGTAAAGATCATGTTCCATGAAGATATTTTGTAAAATTCCTACCTTAAACTTAATTTTTGATTAGTAATATGCATTGCTAAGAACTTCATTTGGACAACTTTAAACGCGATTTTCTCAATATTTTGTTTTTTTTT